TTCCCCTACTATGACTGTATTGCTGTCAATATCTTCCTTTTATGTCCATCAGGGTTTTCTTTATATTTTTAGGTGCTCCTATATTGGATGCATAAATGTTTATAAGGATTATATTCACTTGTTGGGTTGACCCTTTTATCATTATGTCATATTCTTCTCTGTCTGTTATTATAGCCTTTGTTTTAAAGTATATTTTGTCTGATATAAGTATTAATACCTCTGCTTTTTTATTTCCATTTGCATGAAATATCTCTTTCCATCTTTTCAGTTTAAGTCTGTGTGTTTCTTTCATTCTGAGATGGGTCTCTTGTAGACAGCATCTATGTGGATTTTGTTTTCTTATCCGTTCAGCTACTCTATGTCTTTTGATTGGAGCATTTAAGCCATTTACATTTAAAGTGGTTATTGATAGGTACATGTATATACCCATTTTATTCTTTATATTTATACTCATCTTTTTTTTTCCCTTTATTCTTCTTAAAGAAGATCCTTTAACCTTTCTTGTAATACTGGACTCCATTAGCTTGATCTTGTCTGAGAAGCTCTTTATTTCACCTTTAATTTTAAATGATAAACTTGCTCGGTAGAGTAGCCTTGGTTGTAGGTCCTTGCTTTTCACTTTGAATATTTTCTTTCACAGGTTAAGGAAGTTTATAGCCATTATTTCTTCAAATAGGTTCTTGATCACTTGCTCTCTCGCTTCTCCTTCTGGTATCCCTATGATGCAGATACTGTAACACTTGATGTCCCAGAGGTCCCTTATACCAGTGGTCGGCAAACTCATTAGTCTACAGAGCCAAATATCAACAATACAACGATTGAAATTTCTTTTGAGAGCCAAATTTTTTAAACTTGAACTATATAGGTAGGTACATTGTTATTAACTTAATTAGGGTACTCCTAAGTTGACCTTTGCTAAAAACGTCCTCAATCTGATTGAGGTACATTCGCTGAGGTCAACCCCTTCCAACTCTCCCATTTACACTCGTCTTGTATACTTGTTTCATTCAGTGGTTGGCAAACTCATTAGTCGACAGAGCCAAATATCAACAGTACTTCTTCTGTTGTAGACTCGCTCAGGCCAAAAACCGACTTCTGCGCATGAGCCACGAAGTTTCAATTGCAGTGTACTTGCACGCCCGCACGTGGTATTTTGTGGAAGACCCACACTCAAGGGGCCAAAGAGCCACATGTGGCTCGTGACCTGCAGTTTGCCAACCACTGCCTTAGACTATCCTCATTTTTTGAAAATTCTTTTTTTTTCCTGCTGTGATTTTTTTACTCCCCTGTCTTCCAAATTGCTGATTTGATCCTTTGCTTCATCTAACCTGATGTTTATTCCTTCTTGATTATTCTTCATTTCAGATATTGTATTCATAATTTCTGTTTTTTTATGGCTCTTATGTCCTATTTTATGCTTGCTGTCTCTTTGTTGAAATTTTCACTAAGTTCCTTGAGTATCTTTGTAACCATTGTTTTAAACTCTGTATCAGGTAGATTGCTTCCCTCCATTTTACTTAGTTCTTTTTCTGGGAATTTCTTGTGTTCTTTCATTTGGAGCATGTTTCTTTATCTCCCCATTTTGGCTGCTTCTCTGTATTTGTTTCTGTGTATTAGGTAGATCTTCAATTCTGCCAGGCTTGGTATGGTTGCCTTATGTGGTAGAAGTCTTGTGGGGCTCAGTAGCACAGTCTCCCTGATCACCAGAACTAAGTGCTTCAGGAATGTCCAGCATGTGGGTTATGTGAGACCTCATACTTGAGTCTTAATTGCTGTTAATTCATGTGGGGTGGGTTGCCTCTCCAGTTGGCTATTAGGATCATCCCCCACCTCAATGTGTGAACTGCTGTGAGGCAGCTGACCACCCCAAGAGGAATTTGCTTCAACAGGATCGGGTGCCTGCTGAGATCTTTTTTTGGATGTGGTGCTTGTAGAGCTACTTGGATTGTGCTCTGATGTGATCTGAATCCCACCCTGAGAAGGCTGCCAGTGCAGGTCAATGTTAGGTGCTACCTATGACAAGCCCTGAGCTACCTATTTGGGGCTACAAAGCAATCCATAGTTTGTGGCTGCCTCTGTTGGGCCTGGGTGTGTGTGGAAGGGACCAAGCTGTGAACCAAGGCTGACTTCCACCAGCATCAAGCCTGGGGGCAGGTCAGCAAGAGACCCAAGGCTGCCTAAGGCCAATCTCTGCCTGCTAGCTGCCTGTTAAACTCAGTCACTGAAAGAAGCTTTGGTGGTAAGCAAGTTGCATGAGGTAGGTTCTCAGTGAGTCACCAGGGAGGGGTGAGTGGTATTCCCCAGACTGATATAGCGTCAAACCTGGAGCCAGTGCTGGGTCTGAGGCTACTCATCAACAGTCTGAGGGTTCATTAAGGTCAGCTGCCATCCACCAGGTACCCTCAGACCATTGTGGTGAGATGGGGTCTCAATGAGTCATCAAGGTTTATTAGAGGCCAATAGAGTTCATCAGGCCCAAGCAACCCAAGATTTGGTTGTGTGAAGGGAGGGCTCTGTACAGGAACAGTGGCTATGGTCGGGCGTGGGAAGGAAAATGGCCCCTGCCCAACTGTTTTTCCTGCAGTCTGCCTTGACCTCCTGGAAATCCTGCACTGTGGGACCAGGTTGGCCACAGCACACTAACAGTATTATAGAGTGCAAGCTCAGCAGGGCAGGGCCACCAATAGTTGGGAGGGTAGAGGTAGTGGTTCTCTCAAAGTGGGCTAGTGGATCTGGGGCGGGGGGAGGGGGGGGGAGGAAATACTGCTGCTCTGGTAGTGGGAGGAGGGGATAGATTTCTGAAATTAGCAACAATATAACTATCCCACTTTTGAATTGTTTCTTGTTTTTCTAATTTCTCATGGAGAACATCTACAAGATGTTACCAAAATCTCCAAATAGTATCTCCAGGGCTGAGACAAGCTTGTCCTTGTGCTTTACTGTCCAATGAGATAGCCACTAGCCATGTGTGAGTATTTAAAATGAAATTTTACTTAATTAAATATAATTTAAATTTCAGGTCCTCAAATACTCAGTAACTACTATATTAGATCCTATGGGTATAAACACGGACATCAACACAGAAAACGTTATTGGTTAGTGCTGGTTTAGAATTCTTGTAGTCAGTGTACATATTTTAATTTATTACTTATTACATTACCTATGGACAAGTTGGAAAATGGTGGCAAGTTTTGGGGAAAGTATTTTAAATGTTTATTTGTTCTCTAAATGTTGCTAACTACTCTGCATAGTTTAATTTTTAAAAAGAAGAAAAAATTGCGTTCACCCATTTTTAGAGCATGATTATGTGTGTGGAATTCATATCAATTGTCATGTCCTGGCTGGCAAATTTTCTTAAAGTATTCTGAGGTTATGGCAAAAATTCTGTTAATGCTGCCAAAGCTATTGGCAGAAAGATCCAGTTAATTGAAATCTCTTTACAATGTCATAACATTTGAAATGAACTCATCTGGCTATAAGACAATGGAAGTTACGTTGAATTCATTCTTTATAGCCATTTTATTTGTGAAGACCTTAAATTACCTACATGCCTTCATTAATCTTAACATCCAGAATGAAAGTCCTAACAATGACTGGGTCACCTATAAAGACTGCTCTGGCCTCATACTCCAGGTCCATTTGCAACCTCTCCTGCCTCACTGTAAACAGTTTGAGGGCAGACCAATCCTCCCTGGCTTTTATGGACCCCACTAGAGGTCTGGCGCATGAAATTCGTGCACGGTGGGGGGGGGGGGGTGGTCCCTCAACCAAGCCTGAACCCTCTCCAATACAGGACCACTCAGGGAACATCCCTCTTACAATCTGGACTGCTGGCTCCTAACCACTCGCCTGCCTGCCTGCCTGCCTGCTTGCCCCTAACCACCTCTGCCTGCCAGCCTGATTGCCCTTAACTGCCTCTGCCTGCCTGCCTGATCACCCCCTAACTGCTCCCCTGCCAGCCTGATCACTCCCAACTGCTCTCCCCTGCCGGCCTGATTGCCCCTAACCTCCTCTCCCTCGGCCCCCGCCACCATGGCTTTGTCTGGAAGGATGTCCAGAAGATGTTCGGTCTAAATAGCATATTAACCTTTTATTAGTATAGATGGAACTTTGCATGATGTCCTGCCAGTACATTTTTCTGTGAGTCTTATTTGAACAAATAAATGAACATCTGATCAGGTCTGCCCTGAAAATCATTGTTTTTGGGAACAGGCTAATAGGGTACATGAAATGTAACTGCTTCAGTTCATTTTATTGTGGAGTAATATCTCCTGAACTGCCCACAGGATTGGAATTCCCGTGAGGTTATCAGTCCTTTTGGTAAATCTGTGCTGAATGAAATTAGGGACTAAGAAGCCACAGGCTCTCACAGTGGAAGGCTAAGGTGCTACATATTCTGTTTGAATTGTAGGAATAGTAAATCCAATTTTAAAATTGAGATGAATTAGGGAAAGTACAAAATACCATAATAAAATTAGAGTGGATCCAGAAAATAAATACACTGTTTTTTAGTGTCTGTGTATACAGCCTATATCACTGAAGCACAATAGATGACATTTTCTTGGGTATTTTCTGTTTATTTTATATGAAATGACATTTTCCAGAGAATGAGATTTCTTTAGAAATTAAATAGGTTAATGTATATCTGTTGTGACTCAGCAGGAATAGGTAGGCAGTGTTCCTTCTAAACTCTGGGAGAGAGGCAGTCTGGTGAGACCATTTTCCCTGCTTCTGGTAGATCTTGTTCCTTGTGTAAATGCTTTTCTTAAAAAAAAAAAAAAAAAAAAATTTTTTTTTTTCTTTTCAATTTGTCTCCTTCCCAACACAATGGAGGTTAAATCTGATGAGATTTTTGCCGGATACTCACAGTATCTTTTGTGCCTTATGGCCTTAGGTTATGGGATACCTTAAGGACTTGGGAAAAACGAATTCTTCTATCTGCCCTGTAGTTTTGGTGTTGGTCATGGGATAGTGATAAGATCTCAATTCTTCATTTTTAGGTAACAATCAACAGAGATAGTGGTGAAGATGTGAGCTCTCCTAAACATGGGAAGGAAGACCCTGACAACATGCCCCACATGGGCGGCAATACGTGGGCTGGCGGAACAGGTTGGTGGCACTGGCATCCCCTTGGGTCTGGTTTCCTGAGACTTCACAACCCCACGTAGACAGTGCAGCCCTCCTAGGGAGGCTTGGGGACCAGCGCCTCTTCTGTCTCCCATTAGCCAGTGGGATCGTAGCCTTGCCCTGTGTCCCAACCCAGCATCAAAACATGGAAAAACCCTGCCGTTTGGAGTCCCACAGACTCTGCTACGCTATGACCTGAGGCCATTTGGACCCAGAGCTGCTTCATCAGTAAAGGGGGGGAAATATTAACTGCCTAACAAGGTTGTGGTGAGAATTAAATGAGAATATGATTGTAAAGCACTGAGCTCAGGGCCTGGCATGAAGAATGTATTCATTAAAAGTGTTAATCCCTTTTTTAAAGTTCCCTGCCCTTGGAATCATGCCAGAAATCTATAATAAATCCTTTCTTGACTAACTGACTTGGAAAAGAAATGGTGCTTCTCTTCCATGTCTCAGAAGTAAGTACGAGGATGCAGGATTTTGAGATAAGAGAGTTGGTTGCAGTTTGAACTGATGGCTGGGGTCCGTTCCTTCCTCTTGGCTGCCTGAGGAGAGCATTGTTCCCATGGCTGCTGTCTTCCTCTTTCTTCCCAGACAGCTGGAGCAGACACATCTGCTGGGCCACGGGAATCCAGCCAGACTATGTGCGCACTCTCTGATCTTATCTCGGTCTGAGCAGTGCTGGCAAGGGCTGCGAACTTGGCCTTCCCTTAGGATGGTCTGTGCCTCTTGGCCTTGACAGCCTCAGGAGGAAATGGTTTCTGTGCTGGGACAATGTGCTATCAAGTAGGCCTGTGGACTTGCTGCCTGCTCTGTTTATTCATCAAGCATCAGCTCTAAAGAAAGGATATTTTTAGAAATGCCCTCTGATCTGGAAATTAGTTCAAACCTGCCATATTGAATCCATATGGAATGCACTGCAGAATGAGCTGGCCAGATGTAGGTTTCCCAGCTGCTGGCTGCTCTGAAGTGGAGGCTCTTACTTGTTATTCAATTTGAATCTACTACCTCACATATTTGTCTGGACTAGAGAGCCTGCTTTTGCTTCACACAGTCTTTCTTTTTCAATTTTCAAGGCTCCTTTGCTCCAGATTCTTTTTCTCTCTTTCATTCTTTTCCCTCAGAGTTCTCAAATATTGAACTTACCTCTGACCCAGCAAGTCATTTGATTCCTTTTTTTGTCATCAAAGCCCCTCCCTGGCCCATTTTCTACTTCTCTCTGAACTGACTTAGGATATTCACTGTTAGCTTCAAGATTATGTGAAGTCTAGAACCTCCTGCAAGCTTTTCTTATTTGATTAGTACAAATCAAAGGTTCCTAGAAGTGGAGATTATGAAGAACTCTCCCCTCATGCCCTCTCCACCAGTATGACTTGCCTGAAGGACCATGTGACTCATGCTGACCATCACTCACACCATCTCCAAACAGTTGTGGGTTCTTTCCTCAAAAAATGATGTCACCTCAGCACCTAGGAAGTTTTCAGCTGTGATTCATGATCCACCCATTCCTAAGGAGAACCTCCTGTGCGAAAGGAGTCGGGTCACATAAAAGCTTTTCCTCCTCTGTAGCTCATTGTCATTGTCCAGTAACTGCTCCCCTCCGTCTATAGCTATCCATGCGTGAGAGCCGGAATAACACACATCCAAGAAGGAATTTTCCACCACCAATATCTAAATAAGAAGGAAATAAGATGTGCTAGAACCAAAGGGTAAAATTACTATAATTAATGGGCTGTTCTTATGGTATTTCCCAGAAGGAAATGGCCTACCTGGACTTTGACAAGAAAAGCAGTACATGCTGAGTTCTTGCTTTGACTTACTACACCAATCAAGGCTCCAATGGAGAAAATAAAAATGTGACATAATTTCACCAAAGCCTAAAAGCTTTCAAATTTTCCATTTATGAACTTAGAATTGACCTCATTTATGTGACTGGAAGTTACCTAAATGATAATAATGAGATCAGTCATTTATTATATAGCTCTTACTTTGTGCCAAACACAGTTCTAAGCATTTTAGCCTTATGGCAGTCCCATGAAGTAAATGATATTAGCAACCCCATTTTACAGAAGAAGACACTGAGACACAGAGAAGTAAGGAATGTCCCTCACGGAAACCTCACTAGTACATAGCGAGGATTCAAACTCAGGCAGTCTGGCTTAACTGTACAATACAATCCTATCTAATAAAAGAGAAACATGGTAATTGGTGTACGACCGCTACCCTTCCCATTGGCTAATCAGGGTGATATGCAAATTAACTGCCAGCCAAGATGGCGGCCGGCAGCCAGGCAGCTTGAAACTAACATGAGGCTTGCTTGCTTCAGTGACGGAGGACTCCAATGTTCCCCGCCTGCCGCTGCCGGCCTCTGAGCTGCAACTCTAAGCAACTATGTTACAAATATAGAAGCTAAACAAAACCCCAGAAACCTGCTTTAGTCGCCGGGCTTCAGCCAGCAGGATCGCAACATTGTTTCAAATACAGAAGGTAAACAAAGGCCAGAAACCTGCTTTCAGCAGCGGAGACCTAAGAGCTGGAGCCTCAGAGCTAAAGCTGGCCCAGAATAAAAAATAAAGAAAAAAAGAAAAAAAGGAGCGGTTGGGAGCTTCAGTCACCCGCCAGCCTGAAAACAGCCCTCAGCCCCTCACCCAGACTGTCCAGGCACCCCAGTGGGGACCCCCACCCTGATCCAGGACACCCTTCAGGGCAAACCAGCCGGCCCCCACCTATGCACCAGGCCTCTATATAGTAAAAGGGTAATATGCCTCCCAGCACCGGGATCAGCGTGACAGGGGGCAGCGCCCAAACCCCCTGATTGCCCTGCGGCTCTGTGACAGGGGACGGGGCCACAACCTCCCTATCCACCCTGCTCTGTTCATGACAGGGGAAGGCGCCCCAACCCCCTGATCGGCCCTGCTCTGTGCCTGATAGGGGGGAGCTCCCCAACCCCCTGATTGCCCTGCGGCTCTGTGTGTGACAGGCTGTGGTGCCCCAACCCCCTGATCGGCCCTGCTCTGTGTGTGACAGGGTGCGGCGCCCCAACACCCCCCACCCCCTACGGGCCCTGCTCTGTGTGTGACGGGGTAGAGCCATAACCTCCCCATCGGCCCTGCCCTGAGTGTGACAGGGTGCAGCGCCCCAACCCCCTGATCTGCCCTGCTCTGTGTGTGACAGGGGGCAGTGCCCCAACTCCCCTATCAGCCCTATTCTGTGAGTGACAGGGGGGAGCTCCTCAACCCCCTGATGGGCCCTGCTCTGTGCGTGACAGGGGGCAGCGCCCCAACCCCGATTGGCCGTGCTCTGTGCGTGACGGGGGGTGGCGCCACAACCTCCCCATTGACCCTGCCTTGAGTGTGACAGGGGGCGGTGCCCCCACCCCCAATCAGCCCTACCCTGAGCGTGACTGAGGGTGGCATCGCAACCTCCCAATCCGCCCTGCTCTGTGCATGACAGGGGCGGCGCCCCAACTCCCCAATCAGCCCTGCTCTGAGCCTGACCAGGGGCTGCACCTAGGGATTGGGCCTGCCCTCTGCCACCTGGGAGCAGGCCTAAGCCATCAGGGTGTTATGTCCCAAGGGGTCCCAGACTGCGAGAGGGCACAGGCCTGGCTGAGGGACCCCCTCTTCCCCCCGAGTGCACAAATTTTTGTGCACCAGGCCTCTAGTATTATATAATACTAATATACTGTGTTATATTATGCTGCCCCTCCAATATTGGATTCTCTTCTGATTTCCCACATTATGTGTGAATGAACCAAAGAAACCGATTACTAATATTTTAATAATTATAAAACTAGGGTAATAAACTGGTAGCCCAGAGACCAAATCTTGGTCAATATATGTATTCTTTAGGTTTATGTAGTTTTTAAAAATAATTTGAATTTGAATGTATTTAGACAAAGCAAGTCCTCTAGTTAGCCAAAGTTCTTACCACTTCTTATATTTACCTACCTAGTCTTCTAGGCATTTAATTTATATCTACATGGTAAACAGTCTGGGCAATATTACCTAATGCACACTTACAAGCATGTAAACTGGGTTTGTATTGTAAACTGTTCTAAAGCTGGTAGTGCTTATCTGTTGTGTAGTACTCTAGGCTAGAACTCAAAGTTGGTATAATGATTGGTTTCTAATCTTGGCGAAGCCACTGATATGAAACTGTAAACAAGTCTCTTAACCTCTCTGTGCATCACTTTTATCATTTTCTAAACATATGAAATGGTTTCTATACCCTAGTTGTCTTTCTTATTTTAAGGACAAGTAAGGTAACATGAGGGAAAAAAAGTTGTTCATTTAATTAATATATACTAAGAATTTTTTATATTCAAAGTCACTCTTGTAAGTGCAGATTTACTATGAGATATAAACTATGACAATCCATCGTATAGTTGGTGAAAAAAGGTTAACGAATAGTGAGTACACAGGAGCATTGGTCCTTGTGAGGCAGAGTCATCAGATGGCATGACCTGGAATTTGGACTGGGCCTTGAAATGTGGGTAAGATCTGCCTGGCTGGGGAAATGGAGAAGCATCTGGAGCAGGGGTGGGGCACCCTTTGTTTCTAAAAGAAGGTCATTTGAATACTTAGTTATGAGATGAGTACAGTTAATATGCTTCATGGGACTGCCTGGAATTATGGCCTGACTTGATTGGTGGCCTGGATCAGAGAAACAACCTGAGCTTCCATGGCTTCCTTCTAGGGGGAAGAGACACTGCAGGTCTGGGTGGCAAAGGAGGTCCTTACCGGCTGGACGCAGGCCACACAGTGTACCAGGTCTCTGAGGCCGAAAAGGACGCGGTTCCCGAGGAGGTGAAGAGAGCTGCGAGAGAGATGGGCCAGAAAGCGTTTCGGCAGAGGTGAGTGGGCCCGGTCCCTTCAGGGCAGCGCTGGCCACTGTGTTGAAATGTCATAATGGACCCTGAACCGACCCAGATGTGTGTGGATCTCCACCTCATGCGGCCACTTGAACCACAAACAAATCCACAGCTTCCCCCTTCCTAATGGACACAGCCACGTGAGCATAACTCCCCATTCTTTCTACTCAGGCTCTTAAATGTATTGATTACCTATGACTGTGTAGAAGATGGAACTGAGCACATTAGGAAGTAAAACCAAAGATATTTTTCTTAAGAGAAATTAAAGTTCAAATCACTCCATCCACATCTGTTCTAGGCCACACAGGGATCTTGGGGATGTATGTGGAGCAGGACGATCACACACCCTCACACTCACTCCTGTGAGTGCTGCAGCCACGTGGTAGGAGACTCTGCCCCCTGGCTGTGCAGAGGACAGCTCAGTGGGCTATTGGGAGTTAGGGCAGGAGCTCAGCCAGGATTGGGACATTCCAGGAAGGGAAAGCCAAATGGGCAGAAGCACCCGTGGGGTGAGCATACTGTCCTCTCTGGGTTAAAGGCACCAGCTGGGGGTCAGGGAGTGAAGTTGAACGGGAGGCCCTGTCGGTGGAGGCCTTAAAATCAGGGCTGAAGAACCTGGGCTTTCAGACGATCTGGAACCATCTGGGCCATTTGATCAGAACCATCTAAAAAAATGAGAAGAAGCCTCATGATGCTCTTCAGCTAAAAGTGGAAAATGCCAGAGGAGCGGCGGTGTCTCCCTCAGGACTGAGGGGACCCGTGGTGCCTTGGGAGGTAGATTCAGGTTGCGCCCAATGAAAGGAGCTGGCTGCCGTTCAGAAAAAAGCATGCTCAAGTGTATGTGATCTATGAAGTTCCTCCACGTAGAACATCTGGTATTAGATCACATGCTGTGCTTACACATCCTGCAAGTAAACAGAGCAAAACAATGGGGATAAGCATGCAGGTTCCTCCTGCCACACCCTCAGGAAAGCCTGCAAGCCTTAGGAGCCTCTGTACAGGTGGATAAGGCAAATGTGCTGGCTTTCCTGGTGACCTTGAACAGCCATCTATCCTCACCGCCTGAATTTGCTCTTCTGGAGATAGGTGGCTTCCTCTCCCTGCTTCCCAGGGAGGTGGTGAGGACAGATAACTATGTTAGGAATGCAAGCAGTTTAAACTTACCAAAACAAAAAGTGGAAAAAATACTGTAAGGAAAGGTCTTGTTGGAATTAAGATATTACTGTACATTTCATATAAATGATATCCATTTAGGGAAGGATCCAAACAACTAGATATGCAACATTCTCCCCTCCCCTCCCCAAACGAATGAGCTTCTATTGTTGCCACGCTCAGGACCTCACAAGTAAATATCCAGTCTCCGTTTCTGAATAAGTGCACAGATGGGTTAGATGCTCTGGCACACGAGTAGTTCATGGGGAGGCAGAAAGGCTTTTAGCAAGTGCGTGGGCACAAGTATCCAGCCCCTGTTCCGATTCCTATAATGGGGTTAAAGAACCTGATTCTGTTAGGGCCATTGCCCCACAGGTGAAAGAGGTCAAGGAGCATCTGTGACAAAACACAACTAAATTTAGAGGATGTAAGAGAGAAAGTGGGAAAGGAGTGAGAAAACCATCCACCTTTACACAGTGTTGTGGAGAGTCTCTAAGCCCAGGTGAAAGAGAACAGCATGAAGTGGTTGAGAGACAGGAGGTGGGCAAGGGTATGAGATGGAGAGGAAGAAATAAAAACACATGGGGACCCTGAGAAAGTCAGGGTATAGCAAAATACAGAGGGGAAACACTGTTGCTTTCTACTTTCACACAGTAAATTCTCCCATTTGATGAGTATTCAAGTTAGTGCTGTTAAAGATTTTTCTTTAACTTTTTATTATGGAACTTTCAAACATAAACAAAACTAGAGAGAAACGTACAGGGTGAGGCAAAAGTAGGTTCACATATAATGAACCCCATGGACCAACTTTAAGAAGAAAAGTCTGGCTTTACTCTCAGTGCCCACCCCTGGATTATTTGGAAGCCAATCTAAAGTATCCTGTCTTTTCATCATAAATATTTAAAAGTATATCTCTGAAAGATAAGGACTCTGAAACATACATACATACACACACACACACACACACACACACACAATACTAGTATGTCTACAAAAAAGTAATTCAAATAGTTTTAAAGCTATTTTGCAGCTGTAGGCATATGCAGAATGAGGTCAAGTCCTCATTTATGCTTTTGTCCCTTTTCTCACACTTCTTATCACTCTCCCAGTATATCATCAGTTGTGTGAATAGTTGCCTCTCCACTGACTAAGTTCCTTGAGGGCAGAGTGTTTTGTTCTATAATATATCCTCAGACCTATGCCCAGAACCTGATGCACAGCAAACACTCATATTTGTAGAATGAATAATGTGCACCTTCATACAGGTGATGGTGTCCCCCTTTAATACTTAACTGAGAGTCTGGCTAAAATCAGACAGACAGACAGAGCTATCCATCAGCCTAGAGGCCTACCATATTGCCTAATACAGCTGATGGGTTCTTGACATCATCAACACAGCATTGAGTTAGCACTCACTTGCATCTGGATTTCATCTAGATAGCGGTTCCTATATATCAAAATTTATTAACTCAGGAACAGGAACAGATAACAGAAGTAGAGAAGCATAAGACATGCATGAAGCACAGCATAAATATTAACCAACAAAACATGAATGAAATAGACAGTAAGGTACTTTTACATGTTTAGAAAAGTATTTAGGATGGAAATTGTACCAACTACCATTTGCAAAACTAATCAGGCTTACACAGGGAGGTTAGCTTATGGATCTCAGCTTATGTTTGCTTTTCTCATAATTGATCCAAAATTATAGTATTTAAGTCTGACCTACACGAAAAAGTAAAATGAAAACTTAAATTCCCAGACTCTTACATAACAATAAGTATACCCTGTAAGAATATGCTGTGCCAGCAGAGTGCAGTTAGTCCACATGGATTACTAGGATGGGAAGCAGCTGTGCCCTGCAGTTTTGGTCAGGCGTAAAGTAGCAGAAAGACTTATTTTCAGCTAGTTTTGTGGGCTTGAGAGTATTAGCACTGGGCAGCTTGTCTGATACAGAGCCTAAAATTACCCATTTCCTTTCCCCATTCCTTGCTTCAGTCTTCATCTTTCAGAATTTGTTATCACTTTTGAATACCTTGTAGGTGATCTTTCTGAAAGCTGACAAAGTCTGGGATATGATTCCAGATTTCTTCAGAATTAAAACAGCATGTGGTATGTTGTGGGTGCAACGTGGTTGTGCCAGAGGTAGCCCTATGTGAGCTAATTCCAATCTCTCTACTAAGACCAACTTCCTGGCTCCTTCCTTGGGGTGTGTGTGTGTGTGTGTGTGTGTGTGTGTGTGTGTGTGTGTGTGAATGTGTGCATGAAGTGAGTATGTGTGTGAAATTAGTGTGTGTGTATATGTCTGTAAGTGTATGTGTGAAATGAGTGTGAGTTTGTGTGTGTGTGTGTGTGTGTGTGTGTGTGTGTGTGTGTATTTTCCCCCTGCTAAGGATAAGCTATGGCTACAATTTTTTTTCTAATCTTTCTTCTTTGGGAAAAAGCATATTGGCCTCCTAGGTATGAAGTGGTAGGTAGCATATCCAGTAATATTCATTGTGCCCAGCTTCTCTCCACCTTGATACTTGAAACATAACATCTAATGAAAATGTATAGAGAGGTTTAAGAGATTGCCAAAACTAAACATGAGAAGTGTTGTTAGGAGGTCAAGTCCTATACACATATTTGTTTTTGTTCTTCAGAACAGAGAGTAAATTTAGAAGGGCACCTTGGCATGTCACCTCAGGAAATAAGCATTCAGATATTATTTAACTTTCAGGTATTTCTCTTTTGATAGTGTTTTTTCAAAGTGTTATGTAACAGCTTTTATTGCGTGCCACTGTGTGCCAGGCATTGCGTTAGGTACTGCAGATTCAGAGAAAAAATAAGACATATTTCTCCTCCCAGAGGAATAGAAGAGAATATCAGAGTGTATCACATGCAATAAACATTTTTTATTAAATTTTTGGTTCAGTTAAAAACACACACATATGCATTTGTGTATCCTGTATTTCAGTCTATTAAAGCTTATTTCTTATTGTAGAAAATAAAGTTTGAAAACATCATGACAGATGGAAACAAACATAGCTATTAAAGGCAATAAAATGTATAGGTTCTATAGCAGATATTTGTGGAAGACAGTGAAGGGGTGTGATCAGGTTACTGGAGAGGTCAAGCAAGATTCCTTAGGAGGTGGCCTTCGAGCTGGGTCTTGAAACCTGAGTTGGCGATAACTAACCCAGCTGGGTGTTAGGGCAGGGATTGCAAATCTTCCCTGTGGCAGTCTAGGCCTAACCTTTTGTGATTCTGGTAAGTACTCTATCCTGCGATGGATGGATTCTCCCTTGAGGTTGGCCTGCCAGGAAGGAACAGAGACCATTCATTCTCACTGCAGCCCAAGGTGAGAAAAATATACTTTAGATAACAGCTTCAGCTACACACCTGGGACCCATACCTCCAACTTTGCACACATGTGCACACACTAATGCAATTACATGCAGCAGTTTAGAAGATGGTGCTGTGCTCTAGTGTCAGCACCCGTTACATTTATAGAAACTTCTAGGAATGTGTAATCAAATTAGTGTATTATAAATATGATGCTATAAAAACCTAAGGAAAGCTCTCTCGGTGAATGAACTTCTATGTGTGATTAGTTTAAGATGCTGCATTTTTAATGATTCGGAGTCTTATTTTTATTTTGGTCATTCATTTCAGTTTATCTTGAATACCTATTATACGCTAGGTACCCTGCCAGTCGCTGTACATAGGAAGATGAGAAAGACCCAGCCATTCCCTAAAAGAGCGTAGAGGCTGGTGGGGAGAAAGGGCAGGTAGTAAGTGCTCTGATAGTGATGGTGTGAAGTAACAATGGAAGACAGACCTGGGGAATCAGAACAGCTTCCCAGAGCAGCTGATCATCGATTTGAGTCTTGAGGAGTACGAGTATGTGGGAGTTAGTAGACAGAGAGGCAGGGAAAGGCTCTAATGTGACAAGGACCTGTGTGGGAGCTCCGGGCACAGGCACGTGATGCTCGGGGAACCCCTCATGCATGGCAGGCCACAGCAGAGGCAAATGATGAACAACAGTAAAAAGGAGCACTGTACTGGGAGGGAGGGATTTCAAAGCCACAATATTAAAATACAATTATCCTATTAAAAGTACATTAGCAATTTCAGAAAACTCTTGTATTTCCCATAGCAGCACATTAATCACATTCTTTGGGCCTGAACTATTAACTTAGTCAACCAAATATACGTCCTTGGCCTTACAAAGCAACTAGGAGCCTCCACATGAACTGACTCGCTGCCAGCATCGAGGCACGTCTTTGGGATATGGCAACAGAGTGAGAGCCAACTGTGCACATTTCTTTCTAACTCAGTGTTAGCGAACCCCTTGTTGGCAGCTTGAAACCCATCATGGCATTTACACCACAGAAATGAGCAAATACTACAAAGCATGACTTTATTTTTTGTCCTGGAGGGCGACGTGTCAACAATTTGCCAGCACGCCACTGGACATTCTCCTCCTTTTATACTCCTAGCGGAGACGTCACCCCTTGCCTTTTGCTTTTCTCCTCAAAGGCAGCCTGGAGAAGCAATGACATGCCTCTCCACTCTGTTCTGTGTCCTTCCCATGAAGTGTTTGAATTTGATTACCTTCCGTTATACCAGTGGTTCTCAACCTTCTGGCCCTTTAAATACAGTTCCTCATGTTGTGACCCCAACCATAAAATTATTTTCGTTGCTACTTCATAACTGTAGTGTTGCTACTGTTATGAATCGTAATGTAAATATCTGATATGCAGGATGGTCTTAGGCGACCCCTGTGAAAGGGTCATTCGACTGCCAAAGGGGTCGCGACCCACAGGTTGAGAACCGCTGTGTTATACCCTTTCTGAAGTTTGCCGCAGCTCTAGCAGTAGAGGAATGGAACTAAAAGACCGATGCACATGATATCAGCTGCTGTCTTTTTTGCCCCCTTTGATTTCAGGCTGAAGGAGATCCAAATGAGTGAATATGATGCCACAACTTACGAAAGATTCTCAGGTGCTGTCCGAAGGCAGGTGCACTCCCTCCGGATCATCCTGGATAATTTACAGGTAATCTTCCATTTATGGGCCAAGAAAATAATCTGGGCCTAAAGCTGAACTGATCCCGGAACTATTAGAGAAAATTATCCAAACCCTAATAAACCAATCAGGAAAAAATTAATGCCAAAATGTTTGCATAAAGCTGTAGGCCATTCCATGGCTTCTTAGTTGAGTTCTCCAAGGAAAAAGAGTTGATCTCACTTTCCCCTTGTCCAGGAATCAGTAACTTGACCAGCAACCCCAGAAGATATCATACATCCTGATTCCCCACATAGAAGATCTGTGTGTACCTCACTTCTACTAGGAATTCACAGATGGAACTCTCTTTCTAGAAATCACCTCACTGGCATTGACTGGAGAGACAGAGGAGCATTTTGGATCATCCACGCTATACTTCTCTATGCCTCCTGGCTTCACCTACCCCCGCTCTCCCCTTGCTCCCATATTGCCTACTTTTTTTGCAGTTTACAAATTGGTTGCCCCAGAACTATTGCTGTTTCCCCGAAATATTGCTATTTCAACATTGCTATTTTCCCCAAAAATATCAATTAAGATGCTTCAATATTTCCTAAGCAAAGATATTTGGACATTTCAGGGAAAGGGGCGGGGTTGGGAGCTTCTCCATGACATGCTTCTCCACTCTACTCTGGAACCTTCTTTGTCCTTTCCATGCAATGTTTGAAGTCGCTTACCTTCAGTTATACCCTTTTCCTCTTTGGTTCTAGTTTGTAATTGTTCTTTATGGGGAGGGAGTATTTTTTTATTATTTGCTAAGTATTGGAGGTTAGAAGTTCTCTGATGCAGTTTTAATCCACCATCTTAACTCAAAACCCTGGGAAAGCCTCATTTTTTTTAAAAGATCTAAACTGCATCAGGAGATTAGAAAAAATTCTATCATTTCCAAGAGGAAATGAAGAGGAAAGATCTTTATAATTAACTAAATTCCTAATTTCAAACTCTGGGGACTGTAAGAATTAAGACATTTGCTCTTTTAAGAAAATCCATATGCATACAGTTATTTAGGATAAAACAGCATAAGGTTTTGTATAAACCGTGTGAAGACATGAACTATGTATACAATCGAATGGTTGAATTTTCTTCTATAGTCGCCTATGTGACAAGTGCTATTGCTCTGGGCTTGAGGGCAGCCGCTAGGTGGGCTCTGAGCACCAGGGCAAGACAATAGATAAATAAGAGCCAAAATGATGAGGGTATCGGGACATGGTGCTTATTCTAAGACTGAAGAATGAATGTGGTTCGTTCATTCATTTCTTAAGTTCTTCATGCACAACAGGCATTGGGGCTAGAAAAATAAAATATAGGCCCTGCCTTCAAAGAAGGAACTTAAGGAAGACAAATAAGCAAACGTCTTCCTAAATTCTGCAGAGAAGTATGCGCACAATGCTGTGGGATGAATGAGGAAAGCCTTCTTGGAGAATGTCATGCTTCAGTTCACTCTTGAAAGATGGTAAGGAATTTCCCAAGTGCTTGAGAGTCAGAACATTCCAGACAAGGCACAGTGTGTGCGAGTGCAGGTTGTTCAGGGTGACTAAGGAGACGTGTGTTAGGTGGGAGGCAATGGCAGGGGAGAAGGCTGGTGAAGTCGTGGCGACCAGATCGGGAATGGCCCTGGATGCTGTGAGAACAGGCAAATTACATTGGGTTTTACCCTGTGGACAAATGGGCCATTAGAGGATTCACAGTATTAGAAAGGGATGCAGGAATACATTTTTGATTGAGGGGATCAGAATCCTCATCTGGTATTAGTAAATGTCTAGATTGGCATTTATTGGGTACCATGCTACAGTTACTTTTACAAACATCATCCCCAGATCAACCCTTTTAAATAGGTGATGGCATTTACAAGATCAGCCACAGGAAGAGAGGTCAGACCTAACACTGTGACTTCCTATAGCAGACGGAGAGTTAACAGTCAGGAAGGACTTCTGCTAAACATACAAGGATGAGAACCATGTGAGAAAACAGTGTCCAGTTCTGCTTTGAGAGATGAAAGAAAACTGGAATGGACTCAAGAAAAAGCAACCAATAAGATTAAATAGATAGCAAACAAGAAACTGGCACTGATAAAAATATGTAAAGGGATTGGGGTTAATAACTTTCTGAATATTCTTAAATAGAGTTAACTATTTCAGGAAGGTATTTATTCCCTTCTTTCCTAGAAATTTGAGAAAGAAAACATAGGCTTCAATAATAGCAAGAAAGAGTTCAATATATAAGAAAGGGAATAAAAGTGATTTAATTCTTGAAAGAGTAAGATGCATCTAGAAATCTTTACAAATAAACTAGTGATCATTTTAATAATACTAAGCATTTATTGAGCAGTTACCATGTGCCAGTCCTCATGTATAAGAGTCATCATCATCACCACCATCATCATCATCAATTTGTGGCTAATAATGCCAGCTTTGGAGCTGGATGGCCTGGGTTCTGTAAAATGGGAATTAGAAAGAAAAGGGCAACTAGGAAGATGTACTCAGAAAATATGTGTGAACCATTTCAAACAGTTATAGCATTAGCATTCTCTACAGAATTAGCTTCGTCATAATGCTTATTATACTCCCTAGTATTCATTAGCATGGACTGCCAGGCAGGCACCCAGTCAGGTCCTTTACAGTCATTGTGCCCGTTAATACTTACAATAACTGGTAATGGCTATTTTCTACATTTGATAGATAAGGAAACTGAAACGTAGTCATCTCAATTCTCACCGTCTTATGAAATATAGATACTTTGTTCCCACTTTATAATGAGGGAGTTGAGGATGAGAAAGACTTGACTAGTGAAGCAAGTGACTGAGCCCAAAGCTCAGGTCCTTTTTATCTGCTAGGTCTGTATTATCTTCCAACTCTACAATTCTGTAAAAAGTATAATTCTTGCATACACTCATAAGACATTTTGTATCGTTATCCACATGCCAACACAGCCATTTCAAGTGTTTTTATTTTTAATCCACAGAGGTGTTATTCTCAGGTAGGCCATCCAGGCCTCAATTTAGAGAGAGAGTATTTGTTAAAAACACAGTACTGGCCAGAACAGACAGGACCTCATCTGGAATATGAATCTTTAGATTGTAACCAAAATGAGAAGGTTTTGACTTGGTCCCATTTTTGCCATCTTCTGCCAGCCCTGTGTGTCTCTGATCGACTAATCACTTCCAGCTGTTTGGGGTTGCTGTAATCCCAGTAACCATGGGTGTTTCCTTGGTGACCAGTACAAAGTCTGGCCAGGCACTAGCAAATCATCACTGGAGATGACTTTCCAAAGCACAGCGTCAGGCCCACGCAGTGACCGGGGGCTGGAACAGGAAATGTTGTTCCACCCAGTGACCATCTGCTTCGACACATGCCTCTGTTGCAGTACCTCATTCTTCTCAATTAAGAAAGCTCTCACCAGTGGCCTTCCTTTGCTTCTTGATTGGATTCTCTATGGAATATCAGAGGCTTGGTTATTGGACCTTTTATGAATCAGCAGCAAGAATTTTCTCATTAGAATAGTAGAATCTATAATAATTTCTTATACTTGATTCAGAATCTGAATGTCTAATTCCAGCATTCCCTAACAAAATAAAATATCCATTCCTACAAAAAGCCATGTCATTTCTTCAATGTTTTTCTGATCTACAGTCAGTAATTTCATTCTCAGGCTAAACTAAATTATCCTTTCTCTGATTGCTTTGGCTAGCATGATAGCACCAGGAACCAACAATTATGTTTCTTGCTTTTCCTTTTGTGCTTCAAAATGAGCTTGTGTTCAGATAAAAGGTGTTTTTGAACACTGACATGTGACATACACTGTTCATGGGCCTGAGGGCACAAAGATTAGTAAGATATTATCTCTGACCTCAAGAAGGTTATAGTCTCGAGGGGTGGGGAAGATGGGCACCTAGACAGAGTATTTGTTTAATATGGTAGGTGTCCAGGTTGAGGGATGCATAGAATGCAGTGCAAGTCCAGAGGAAAGGGAGGCTAGGATAGATTTTGAAGGAAAGGATACATGAACTGAGTCTTGAAGGGCACATGAGTATTAATAAGAGGGTGGAAACAGTGCCTTAATAGTGGACACAGCATAGGCAAAGGTATGACACTGTGGTCTCAGGTGTGAGCTGATGGCCCATCGCGTATGTGAGCAGGATGCCATCCAGTGTGGGTGCCAGTCAAGGAACTTCGACTTTATTCTAAATACTCACTTTGCTAATATGTAAAGAATGGAAAGCATTTCCCCATTTCTTTATTTAGTCTCCAATAACCGTGTCTCATCTTATAGACACTTATTGAATACTTTGCCTAATGGTTCTTGCCTTTGACAACTGACCTAGGGAAGAAATCACATGTGTAGCTAAAAGAAGACACAATATGGTAAATACCACAGAAAGGTTTTAAACAAAGTGCTATGATTAAGTAGACATGTGAACAAGCAATTTCTAAGCTGGACAGTTGGGGAGAAACTCACAAAGGGCGTGTCGTTTGAGCTGGACCGTGAAGGATGAGCATCAGTTGAGGTGGCCAGAATTTTTTTCAATTGATCATGGATGAATACTTTTATAAAATAAAATAGAAATGAATTACTGAAAAAAATGATATAAAAATAAAATACAAGCCCATATTATTTAATACCAGATTCGACAAACATAAAATTGCGTTGTCAAATGTCATACAAGTTTCTAAATGCTTACTGTCAATTTCTGTTACTTATTTAATCATGGACCAGTAACAAGTGTCCACACACCAAAGGCAGTGTGGATGACCCTGGTCTAGACAGAAGAAACGTGTAAGCAGAGGACTGAGACTTAAATAAGGCTGCTTGGAGAAGGGACAACTGTCCAAGTGACTAGAGTTTTGGGATGGGCGTGGGGGCATAGTAGGTAATGGGAGAGAAGACTAGAGAGAGGGTGACTCCCCATCGATGTCTGTATTTGTATGGTCATCTGTATAAAGGGACAGCCAAAGTCAAGAGAGATATGTTGACTGAGGTGAGAGTACAAAGCCAAG